ATAAAACAACATGTGTACTACTGTTTCATGAGAAACTATTTGTTCTGTAAGCCTTCACCTGAAGTACAATAAAATATTAAAAAAAAAACAAATTAAAAAAGAAAAAAAAGAAAGAAAACCCACCGAAGGACACAGGAATATAACAAATGTGGTTACAAATAGGGCATGTGTAGAGTGGGAACAGGATAGATGGAGCCATGGGAAGCAGTGACATCTTTTAATGTATACCTTTCTATGCCATTTTGATTTCTGACTGTGAATTTATTATCTATTTTTTAAAATAAAAGTTAAATTTATCTATAAAAAAAGTTTATCCCTCCACATTTAGCACATGACCATCAACATAAACACTGTGTGTGTAAAGGTGATATGACAAAGCACTACAGCACCTGAACATACATATTCATAAAACATACACTGCATACACCACATCCCTCCACTCCAGGCCTCAGTAACAACTCACTTGTTCAGATGTCTTTTCAATATGACAAAATAGGTCCTTTCATCCTCCTACTGATGCCCATTCCCAACTGGTTGAACTAGTTGTTGAGCAAAGTATAAACAATTGGCTGATCAAAAATTTTCACTTGGTTGTTTTGACATCTAAAGAAAGTTTTAAAGTAATTTTGGAAAGAAGCCTATGTATCTGCATTCAGGCTAGGAAACAAAAACATCTAAGAGCATTTTACACCAAACTACTCCATGAAGAACAGGAGAAATTCTACTCAGAACAGAGCCCAAAGGAGTAAATTAAGAACTCTTCCTAGAAAACGGAAAGAAAATAACACATCAAGAATAGAAGGCACATTTAAGTGAGAATCAGTTATTTTTGTAAGTTTAGTAAATATTTTGAAGGCAACTCAGCGACAGTCTGTGAAAAACTTACATAGGGAAAATGACTTGACCATAAATAGAAATGACCACTTCTTAAAGAATCAGGGTGACGTAAAAGCTAAAAGGCCAGTCAATTTTAACACTGGGAACACAAAATCCTTCTCCACTTTAGTGTGAGGGCATTTTCAATACACGAAGGAAGCCCGGGTATTAGAAAGTTGTACCTTGATGCCTGGACAGAGCTTATTCTAGCTCTGTGCTGTCCAATACAGTAGCCACAAGCCACATGTGGCTATTGAACACTTAAATTGTGGCTAGTGCAACTGGAGGAGAGAACTGAATTTTTAACTGTATCTACTTAAAAAAACAAACCTTGTTCTGAGAAGTTGTAGTCAGTCAAAATATCAAGTCCATAATGCCATGGAAGCTAGTGGATTCAGATGTTAAAAAAAGAACTTCAACAAAGCAAATCTGACTAAGTGAAGTTTTACAAATTCCATATACTTTATCTTAAAAAATTCAGAATCCATATTGTAAAAAGTCAATTTGGCCATTCAAGACCTGATACATTTTTTATCCATTTCAAATGCTCAATAGCCACATGTGGCTAGGGGCTACCTTATTGGATAGCACAGGTATAGAACATTTCCATCATCACAGAAAGTTCTAACAGACAGTGCTCCTTGGATCCTTTATTCAATCATGAAAATGGTGTCAGAGACCACAGTTTAACTCCTAAACTATTTATTAATAATGTAGCAGGTCCCATGCTAAATGCCATCAGGATTACAGAGAAACAAGAAACACAGTTTCTCCGTCAAAACACAATGTACTAAAAAAGACATGACTAGTAAGAATGAAATAAATGCTAAACTGACGTGATGAGGTGGGAAGTAGTGATTAATTCTAATAAATGAAAACACTATGGATTTGGTTGGAGTCAGACAAGCAACCACCTTCACTTATTAAGTGCACCGAGTTCAAGTTTTGGCATCAGACAGCCCTGGGCTCATGTCCTAGCTGTAGGTCACTGAACAAGGCACTTAATCTCTCTGTATCTTTGTCTTCTCATCTATAAAATGGGGATAATAATGCCGGCCTACTTACAACATAAGGCCCTCTCATATGAGATTAGGGATAAAGCGCTTCATAAGTGAATATACTCTCTAAACTGTTATTTTCAACAACTCAGAGCGAGGTGGGGAACCAAGAAGCCTTCACCAAAAAAAAAAAAAAAGGACATTTGAGATGGACTGAAATCCTACCCAACAGGATTCTGCAGAAAGACAATTCACATTTTTGCCACATCTCAGCACAGGTTACAAATAATATTTAAATGGCACACTAGGGTACATGAAAGAGGCTCTGGCAGCCCCAGGCTCTATGCAAGTGCCTAGAGGGCTGAAGGTATCCCTATCTCAGTATAGCCCATGAAATTTAGGAGTCTGCTAGAAGGCTAGAACTGAATTTGATGGGGGGCGGTGGGGTGGGGGGTTGGCAAGGGCGGTACTCCAAAAACTTTATTTTGGAGCCTGCCAACCTGATATAGTCTCACCAGCTCTAAGGCCTTGGAAATGGCACTTAGCCACTCCGAGCTTCAGTTTCCTCGTCTGTAAAATGAAGGTGACACCCTCCACCTCACAGATAGTAGAGAACACACATAAACTCACTTCCCCTGCTAGAAAGGGCCTACCACATCTAGGCTGTCCAGCACAACTCTTGAGGTCCCGTAACATCTCCTCATCCTTCCATTATGGCACTCGTTCGGGTATCGGAGGTATAGGTGCCCATCTTTCGCCACCAACTGTAAGCAACTTAAGGACTCCGCCTCACACTGAATAATCAATAGCCTCATCTCACCACAATTAACCAAATGCCTTCACCACGCTAAATGCTCATCTGGATTATTCTGTTTACTCCTCACCGCAAGGAGTTGTTTCAGCATGTTTTTCCTTATCTGCAAAATTCTTAGTTCATTTAAAAAAAAAAAAAAAATCTGTTGCCATCAGGTTGATTCCAACTCATAACCACCCTACAGGACTGAGCAGAACCTCTCCACAGGGTTTCCAAGGAGCAGCTGGTGGATTCAAACTGCCCACCTTTTTGGTTAGCAGCCATAGCTCTTAATCACCGCGCCACCAGGCCTCCTTCTACTTCCTAACCCCTTGCCATCTAGTCGATTCCAACTCATAGCGACCATACAGTACAGAGAAGAACTGCCCCGTAGGTTTTCAAGGAGCAGCTGGTGGATTCGAACTGCCAACCTTTTGGTTAACAACCTAATACTTAACCACTGTGTCACCAGGGCTACTCTTACTTTACAGGACTCTGAGAATTAAGGAAACTGAGTGACAGGGAGGTGAAGTTGTTGGTATTAGTAAGTAGCAAAGTCAGGCTTAGATTCCAGGCTGCCGGCCTCTGGAGCTAACATACTATCAAGCGCCCAACCCAGTGCCAGGTTGAGCTCAGAGAATGTCTGCCAGGTCTTCAGCAGGGTCTGCAATCAATGGCAGATGCATAAAAGGAGGGGCCTGAGAGATAAGGGATAGATGATGTGGTCCCTTAAACTCTCTAAAATGCTGTTCTGAGGACTGAGTGCAAAGATATACATAGAGATCTTAGCATAGTGGCTGGCACAGAGTGAAGACTCTGTAAGTCACAGCTAAGCTTGCCTCCGCTTTACAGATGAGGAAACAAAGGCAAAAAGAGCCCAACATCACTCAGCCAGTAAGTGGCTAGGCCAGGATTCTATCTAGGCAGTCTGACTCCTGAGCCCGCAGACTGTTACTCTGAACGCCCAGCACAATGCCTGCCACATAACAGGTAGGAGCTAATACCCTCCACCGGGCGCTGAAGGCAGCCGAGAAAATAACAGTTAAATGTGTGAAGAAGAGCCTGTGGGGGAACGGCTTAATGAACTGGGAGTCTGGGCACCTGGGCCCTGGTCAGTGGGACCTTGGACAAGTACCTTAAACCTTCCCGGGCCTCAGTTTTCCTCTCCAAGAAATGGGGATAACACTGTCTCCAACCTCAGAAGCGTGACCAGAAGCCCGTGTCTGGAAGACAAGACTCAATCAAGAAAGACAAGAGCCTGGGGGAAGGTGCAGGAGAGGACAATCCAGGATTGTGCCAAGGGGACGGGGAGAGAGTGTTTACCTTTGCGGAGCTCACGGTGCCACACGGAGACGATGGGCCCCGCGTGCTTGCGGTGGTGAATGAGCCACAAGGACAGGGTCTGCACGCTCTGCTGAGAGTTGCTCAGCTCCGAGAGCTTCTTCTCTAGAGCTGACTCGGAGAAGGAGGACATGGTGGCGACGCTGAGGGCCGACAGGGAGCGGCCTGGGCCGCCCAGTGCGGCAGGAAGAACGACGGCACAAGGCCGAGGCCTCACCTGACAGACTGCCGGGCTCTCTACTGACTGACAGACGACTCGGGTGGTGGTTGGGGGGATGGGATGGGTCTCCGCAGTAACAGCCGCCGGCGCCGCCGCCACAAGATGGCCACCCGACCTCTCACCCTGACGCGAGAGCAGGGTCAAGGGGCAAGAGCCGGAGTAGTTAGGCACCCGGAGGCGTCCGGAGCTGTAGAAAAACGTCCTTCCACGAGCGGCGGCCTCTCCGAACGTTGTTCAGGGCACTTCGAAGGTGATAAACCCGGCGAGAGAGCTCCGTTCCTCGGCTGCCGGAAGGCGTTAAGACCGCCCGCGCCCCTACGCCGGCGCACTGAGTGTCGCTGGAACCCTTTCTTCCGCGCCCGCGGAACCTTTCTTGCGCAGTACGGCGCATTAGTTATAACGTCACTTCCGGCGGGGCGGAGGAGGCGGGAGAGTAAGGGAAAGATTAGAAGACGAGGTAAGGAAAAAGTGGTGGGAGCCACTGGGAGCCCGCAGACTGGATCCCGGAGAGGGGGTCTTGTGGGGACACCAAGGCTGAGGGATCATGGCCTGGGTATAGGAGGGAGGGTTTCTTCCTTCACCTGGCAAGCCCCAGGCCGCACTTTTGCTTTGTACATGTCCAGCACTGTGACCGTCCCCCAAAAAGCTGCTTTTTGGTTCCTCCAAGGCACGCACGTGGGCTTTCTCCCCTTCGCGCCTTGGCCCTTACTATTCTCTCCCGAAGGGTGACGCGCCATTTCTAACCTACTTATCCTCCAGGACCCACTCTTTAATGTCCACTTCTGATGCTTTGTGACAGCACTGCCTTGGAACACCTTGTGCTCTCGGCTTCTAATTGGTTGAATTGGTTGCTTCGTTTAGGCGATTACACGAAACCCTTGCCCCCTGGGGGATCACCATCCAATTGACGTTTCTCAAATTCAAGTAATATGTTAACCTTTTCTTGGGGGAAGGAGAATTATCTTACCTTCCTAATGTGTCTGCTAACCTCCTTTAAGAAACACTATTTGAGAATCTGAAGCCTTATTCAATTTTTTTTTTTTTTAAGTTTTAAATTACAGTTAAAGCAGCAAAGTAGTTGTCTTTCTAATTACTATAGGGATGGTGTAGAGAGTTAGGTTATTGTCTTAGTTACCGAAGAAAAACCACAAGTGGATGGCTTTAACAAATTTATTGTGTCAAATTTATTTAGGGGGCTGTAAGTCCAAACTCAGGGCACTGGCTCCAGGGAACGCTTTCTCTCTGTCAGCTCTGGCGGAAGGTCCTTGTCATCAATCTTCCTCTGATGTAGGAGCTTCTCAGTGCAGGGACCTTGGGTCCAAAGGACACGCTCCACTCCTGGCTCTGCTTTCTTGGTGGTAATGAGGTCCCTCCTCTCTCTGCTCAATTCCTTTTTTTTATATCTCAAAAGAGAATGACTCAAAATACAACCTAATCCTGTAGATTGTGTCCTGCCTCGTTAACATAACTGCCTCTAATCCTGTCTGATTAACACAGAGGTTAGGATTCACAACACATAGGATAATTACATCAGATCACAAACTGGAAAACAACCACACAGTACTGGGAATCATGACCTAGCCAAGTTGACACACATTTTTGGAGCAACACAATTCAATCCATAACAGTTATCGTAGACATAGCAGAATGTTCAGGTTTTTTAACTCATTGTCGAACTTCCCAGTTGTGGGCAGACCCCAGTTTAGGAGACATTCTTCTAGTTGGTGCCTCTGTTTTTCGCTCTTACTACACTGTATTGTAGTTCTTTGCTTACACGCCTTTATCCCTTCCCCGTACTACTAAACCTGTTGCTGTCTAGTTGATTCCAACTCATAGTGATCCTATAGGACAGTATAACTGCCCCTTAGGGTTTCCAAGCCTGTAATCTTTATGGAAGCAGACTGCACATCTTTCTCCCATGGAGCACCTAGTGCCTTGGAACCACTAACCTTTGGGTTAGTAGCTGAACTTGTAACCACTGCACCACCAGCGGTCCTTCTCCAGATTAGAATCATCATAATCATAGCTAACACTTAGTGAGCACTTGCTATGTGCCAGACACTGTGTTTTCACACAGTAACTCATTTAATTCTCACAGTAAAGCTATGAGGTAGGTATTATATTATCCCCATTTTAAGTGACCTACCCAAAATCACATAACTAAGATTTGAGGGAAGGGACTGCATTTTATCCATCCCTTTGTCCCCAGCACTTGAGTCATAGCTGATTGAATGAATTAATATAGAAGAAGTGGGTAGCTTAAAATCAGTAACTAGTCATAATTATAAGCTAGGACTTTTGAGTCCAAATCTGTACAGTATTAAATACCGTAACAGTCATGTATGGGGTACTTTTGTACCAACTTGCTGTGTATTAAGTACGTTACATACATTTTATTTAATCCTTACAATCCCATGGGGGGGAATTATTATCTCTATTTAATAGATAAGAAAACGTAAAGTATGGTTAAGTAACCTGTCCAAGAACACACAGCTAGGAAGTGGCAGAGCCAGGAGTCAAATTAAGGTTATGTGATGTGTGATCTTCACTCCTGAGCCACTGGTGTATTCATTCATTCAGCAAATAAATTTTGAGCCCCTATATCTGAATTGGAAACCCTGATGTCGTAGTGGTTAAGTGCTATGGCTGCTGACCAAAAGGTCAGCAGTTCAAATCCACTAGGCATTCCTTGGAAACTCTATGGGGTGGTTCTACTCTGTCCTGTAGGGTCACTGTGAATTGTAATCGATTCAACAGCAATGGCTTTGGTTTCTTTGTTTTGTATCTGAATCAGGGTCCCTGGGTGGTACAAACACTCTCAGTTGCTAACCGAAAGTTTGGAGGTTCGAGTCTGGCCAGAGGTACCTCAGAGGAAAAGCCTGGTGATCTGCTTCCGAAAAATGAGTCAGTGAAAACCCTATGGAGTATAGTTCTACTCTGACACACAGGGTCACCATGAGTTGGAAGATAGCAACTGGTTTTCTGGGTATGTCTGAATCACTGTTCTAGGCCAAAAAAACAGACAAAATCCATGTCCTCGGAAGTTTATGTTCTACTGGGGAAGATAAATAAACACATGAAAATACAAAATGAGTCAGGAAGTGATAAGTACCTAGGATAAAAAAGAGAATAGGGGGATGAGAAATGTACAGATGTGGGTGGATAGCAGTCTGTCATGTGGTGGTCAGAGAAGGTATCACTGATAAAGGTGACATTTGATCAGAGCCCTAAAACAAATGAGAGAACAAGGCATATGTTATATGGGAGAATATTATTCCAGGCAGAAGGAAAACCAAGTGCAAACTCCTGAGGGTTAGACCACTGCTAACGTTTTTTAGGACAGTAAGGCTGGAGTGACGTGAACTGGAGGGTGGGTGGAAATGAACTCAGAAAAGTAGAAACAGGCCAGATCACATGGGGACCTATAGGCCATAGTATTACTCTGTTATGTCTTCTGTGTTATGTTACTCTGTATGAAATGAGAGTTCATTGGATGGTTTTCAGAAAAGGAGCATTGTTGTGGCTGCTAAGTAGAAAAAAGACAGTAAGGGTGCAAAGGTAGAAGCAAGAAGACTAGTTAGGCGTCTGTTGTAATAATCTAGGTGATAGGGTATATTAGTCCAGGGTGGTAACCAGTGGAGGTGGTGAGAAGGAGTTAGATTCTGGAGATACAGTGAAACCTGTGAGAGCCAGAACTTGACAGGACTGCTTTGTTTTTCTGGGTCTTGAAAGTTTTCCGCCTTTGACAGGGTGTAGTCTTACCACTTTTCTATCACTTATTTTAGTGGAAAATTTTGAGTTTTCCTTCTCTGACAGGTTTCTTCCTTACACAGGTTCTGGCTTTTGCAGATGTTACTGTATTTTGGAGGAAGAGGTAACAGGATTTGCTGACAGATTGGATATAGGGTGTGAAAGAAAAACAAGATGGCCCCAAGGGTTTTAGCCTAAGCAGCAGTAAGAATGAGGCTTCCATTTACTGAATCGAGGAAAGAGCAGATCTGGAGAGTAAGAGCAGGAGATTGGATCTGTACATGTGCAATTCAAAATGCCTATCCGTGTACAAGTAGTCCTCGACTTATGACGGGGTTCCGTTCTGATATAAATCGGTTCCGATGTAAATCGAATACCTCTTTTTTTTAGTTTTCATTATTATTGCCTTTTATTATCACTGTCTTTATAAATCAAATCTTTATTTGTCTTTGGGAGTTGGAAACATTACATCTAAACTTATAGCTATATTTTAATGCATACATTAAAAAAAACCCACTGCCATCTAGTCGATTCCAACTCGTAGTGACCGTATAGGATAGAGTAGAACTGCCCCATAGGGTTTCCGAGGAGCGCCTGGTGGATTCAGACTACCAGCCTTTGGATTAGCAGCTAAGTGCTTTAACCACTGCATCACCAGGGCTCCCCTAATACGTACATATATACATTAAAAAAAATACACAAATCATAAAAATTTGTTCCGACAATAAAGAAGAGTTGGATGATGGCAGTCTGTCTTTTGTGATAATAACGCCAGTTGTGGAAGGTTCTGAATCTTCTGGATTATCCCTGGGAATGGGGATGGCATTTCTAGTCAGGAAATTATTGAGAGTTGTCTGTATGGGCCTTTTCTTTTTTTCTTCATGTATTTTTCAGTGACATCTCACTGCTTCCTCAATCTATCAGCTTTAGCAAAGTGTTCAACATTTGGGTCCATGTTTTCAAGCAACTGAAGCCCTTGATTTAGTTTAGGAAACAATCTATACAGCAGTGTTTAAACAGTAAATCATAAAACTGAACATCTGTGAGTAAACATCTGAGAATAATAACATCAGCAAATTATGTGCTGCAACATTGTATGTAGTACATATTACCATAAGATGTTAAAAAAAAAAAAAGTATGGTTGTAAGTGCAGTTTGTCATAACTCAAATACATTGTAAATTGGGGACTATGTGTAGAGATGTCTAAAAGACAGTTGGATCTATGGGTTTTGGGTTCAAGGGAAAGATCTGGGCTAGAGATATAAATGGGAATCAGGAACAGAAGGTATAGAAAGAGGGCCTGTACAGTGAAATCTGTAAGAGCTGGAACTTGTTGGGACTGCCTTGTTTTTCCAGGTCACACAAGTTTTCCGCCTTTGAAAGGATGCAGTCACCACTCTTCTATCACTCTGTTTAGTGAAAAATATTTGAGTTTTCCTTCTATGATGGGTTTCCGCCTTACACAGGTTCCAGCTTTCGCAGGTTTTACTATATAGAAGGGCCCCAGA